CTGGTTGTGACAATGCCATTCATGATCGAAAGCAACTGATGAACAAGAGCTGGGCGCTATAAGTGACTTTATTTTTTTCAGTAATACCTTTTTTCGTATAGCTCACCTCTGCTGAAACTGCTTCGATCCGGTGTCAGACAGACGCTTTCGTTTAGTTCGAACATCGTATTCTCGATACATGACCACGACCAGGTGTCTGTATCGCCAGAGTGCTCCATGGTCATGGATTTGCAGTCGGAATAAGACAGAACAGCTCGAATAGGAGAATGTAGATTAGTAGCTTATCATAAACTGAATGCTGCAATAGTCAGCTGATCACCGTGGGATGACGAGGGGTGTTACCGTTGGCGTAAGGTCACTGGGACGTTACGCCTTAGCGTGACCAATAACCTTAAGGTACTTAGCTGTCATCTTCTGATACTGCTAGACCCCTTTTTGCTGAAAGGTGATCTTATGGTTGAATAGGATATCAGAAAGGTATGATGTGTAAGGTTTATATGTATTGTATACTTACAGAAATATGTTGGCTCTGACGATCAGAATACTCTTGACTTGGTGAGATAATTGGTTGGTGTTGCACGCGTATGTAGCAACTACGTAACTCTGAGTTATTTAAAAGAGTCGATTTCATACAATAACTCAAATAAGGGTGGAGATGGTGGTAGTAGGTAACACACTATCACATATGCACGGACCAGGGATCGGACCATGGATCGATATTTGCCTGGTCAAAATTCCGAGCCTTCTATCCCTCCAGGGTTTGCTGTTTTTTGGGCCCATCAGGTACGGTAAGAACACTGGTTTGTTTGTCGGCTGGTCACCACAAGACTGTGCAGTAGCGCATTCCAAAGACGGAATTGACGCCGAAGACTTTCTCTCGAACTAAGTGAACCTATAAATTCGTATGTGTCTCTGTCCAATACTCGAGCTATGAATTAAAATTTAAGTGTGGCTTATCCGTAAGATGTTGTGATTGAGTTTGATCCAAATCCCTCAAAATGCCCAAAATTCGATCTCACAGGCTACAGACTTAATAGTACAGCTATCGTGATGTACATTTGCCTTGGAAACTTACGCATGAGACTGCTTGTTATTCAAATCAGTGTCTTCGTCTTTTAAAGCGAGGCTGGCGCCAAGTGACATCTCTGTATTGCAAAACGTACAGGCTGTAGGTGATCAGCTGCTCCATGTCCAATACAAAGTACATCTTGAACTCTGTACTAGTACTTGAAACATCTGTACATACTAGCACTCGATAAAGATCTATAGAAAAGTGACTGGAGGACTTGAGGGTTGAGCAGCAAGCAGAGTGAATGTTCCTCATAGCAAGCCTCAAATTCAAACCCTCCATTGGCAAATTTGGTTGGTAGCTTCCAAATGGACTAGATGAAAGAGGGCCGCGAATTATCGAAAGCACCACATAATAATTCTCAAATAATATGACCTCTCGACATTTTTTCGTGCTTTCTCACTGGATTGTTATGTAATATAAGTCATTTTGTAAGATTACCCTCTGGCAGAGGCTCTAGAACTTTGTTACGATGAAATACAGCTAAGGCCGAAGAACTTTATTGTGCAGTAACGAAGAAGAGATTACAAATGCGATCAACGTTATCACAGATCTAACCGTATGCTGTAAGGAGGTCGAACGAACCAAGCACCGATGCATTAAAACCGTGTATCTATACAAAATCGATATATGTTAGCACATTAAACGCATAGAACCCTGATTAGATCCGATCAGATAGGCGTTGTTGAGAGGTAAATAGCAGATTGAAGCCGGACTACCACATTGACTGTCAGACTTCATTTTCGCTTCCAATACCACTTCAGCACCAGCGTATACCCTAGAGCAATCGATTTGACCGGACCGTACTTCGTTCGAGAAGGAAAGGCCAACCTGATGACGTTGCTTCCCTGAAGTGTAGCCAGCTTGTCGTCGCTTACAGAGGCACTTGTTACCACGTCGGGCAGTTTGCGAGCTGAGGAGATTCGAGGGTTCACGG